TTTGGGTTTCTTGTTCCGTCATCTAGGTAAAGCTCCTTTTTGAAAATGCCAGCCGGTGTGAGCACTGCTAAGGAGGGACGTCTCCGTAATGGATCGGTGTAGTGCCACGTCCCACGTGAGGCAGGAGCCTTGAGAAGAGAGGGAGGAAAAAGTCAAAAAGATGAAAATTTACCTGTAACCAGTGAAAGGCCACTTACGCAGCTTTGGCTCCTGTCCTGATGGCTTCAACTCTCTTTTGTCTCCTCGACTCTGTGGACCCCATGTTTGGGGCTTTCCCCCTTTTGGGGGCTGCTGGGGAAAAAAGCTGGGGAGCCAGAGGGGCAGGACAAGAGACCTGTGACAACAGCCTAAGTGAGACAGCTTTAGTCACAGTTTGCTTGTTTCCTCCTTAACCAGACAAACGGGCTGTATTACCTTTCTGGGCAGGTGTGAGAGCTCGTGAATGCTTTCGTTACACTTGCTTAAGACCAGAACCCCAAAGCTCCCTGTCGCTGCTAGTGTTCCAGGTGCAAAGACTTGGCCTCTGCACTTTGAAGGCGTCATCTTTACTGCCCAGCCACTTTCTTCGGCCCACCTCGTGGTGCCCCACCTCCACGGTTCTAGGGAAATGTGCTGGTGAGCCCGCGGGCTGAAAATCCAGGACAGGAGTGGAGCAGAGACAGAAAGGATGGAGGAAAATGAGAGATGGAGTTCATTCTGATCCCTTGTCTTCCTGTCTTCCCTTGGGACCCAAATAGTCTCCCCTCTTTTGTGGAGCAGAAAGAGAAAAGCCAGTCGGGTCTGGTGTTGCCAAGGTTTTGTTTTTTTTTTTTTTTTAATTCCCCAACAACCTCATTGCTGCCTCCTAGTGAAAGCTTTAGGACTGAAAAGAGACCATTTACTGGGGAGCATTTAAGGGGGAAAAGAAACTGAATTAACACAGACTCACAAACTTTTTCGGAGAGGTTGTGTGTCTCTCAGTTTCTGATCTGATACATTTGTTTGTGATCGCGGGTATTACGTGGCGAGAAGGGAAATTCAGAGCCCACACAGCCTCTACTGCTCAAGGTATTCGGCTCTCTGGTTGCTCCCAAGAGCTGACAATATAAAGCCCATCGAACTTACAATTCTCCTTCAATTTATTTTGCCTCCCCTATTCACTCACACAGACTATTCTCTTTCTATACCTTGGTATTTTTCATCCATAGGTAAAAAAAAAATATATATATATATATATATACACACATATACATATATATACACATACATACACACACACACACACACACACACACACACACACATATATATACAAGAACAAAAATATAACCTTGTATCAATTCAAGCATATGACCTGTGAACTTTAAAACTGGATTTACATTTTGGCACCTAAGAAAGAGAATGGCATGAAAACTTTGTGAAAACCTCAACTAGCTTCAGACGAGAGGTGTGAAGGCCGGTTAATGGCAGCAGTACCACACCGCCTGCCTTTCACTCCCTGCTTACTGTGAGGGCCCTGGGCTGGCTAGGAGGGGGGCAGGCCAAGAATATTGATCCCCTAAAAACTGAAATTGAAAACCAAATCCCTCCTGTTTTGCAACGTGTGAAATTTTACTTGGTGACTAGACAAACAGCCATTTTCTTTTTAGGTGTGGAAACCACCTTTGATTTCTACACTTCAACACTCTCGGACTTAGGAACTTTCAAATGTGGTTTATTTACTCTCCCTCAACGGGTAACACCGCGCAATTTATAAAACTACGTCCAAGGAGGCTTATGTATTTTATTCTTTGTGAGGTGTTGAACATATAAGCATATATTTCAATCACATGTATAAATATTTTCCCCATGGTAATAATTCATTACAATAGATTTTTAATTTTAAATTGGAAACGAGTAGACTGTAATTTACCTCGCCAATATAAATATCTTTTCTCAATCCTTATGCGTACATGTCAAGATAATTTTCATGATTAGACTGAACTTCATTCCCAATGTCAGTGTTTAGTGAATGACAGTTTTTCCTATCTTGCATCCCCGCACATATGTTCTTCATCGGACAGTGTATAATGTTTTCATCTCGAACCCACTATAGTAGGTGGGTTGAAAGCTCAGGGATGATAAGTAGTCGTCGTCACAAAACAGTATATTTAATATTCTGGTCTATGTAATTACACTTGCCAGTGTTTCAACATCACTCCACCCAGAGTCTGAATGACAGCGTGCCTTTAGGGAGACTGTAAAGGAATATGGTTCTACAGAAAACTGTCCAATTATTTGAGGAGCACAAGAACATAACAAACACAAAGCAAACATTTGTAAATGTGATATTGTAAGAAAAACACAGATTCCCCATACATGTTGCTGGTTTCCATCTCTCTATGGCACAGCAACTAAAATTAAAGCCATAATCACTATTCTCAAAATGAGCAATAAAACAAGCCTAACTTTTAAAATAAATCTGATGGCCCCAAACATTTTTTATTTAAGTTCATAACTACAATCGAAGCTTTGTGTGTGTGTGTGTGTGTGTGTGTGTGTGTGTGTGTATGGGATGAACATGGGTTGCAGGGAAGTCTTAAAGTGTTCACTGCTGATAGAACTCCCTACTTGCACACACCACATGGGGAGATCTCGGATCCTAACTGCCTAAGAAAGAAGGCAAGCGAGTTCTCCCTGAAAGACAGGCCAACTTGTGAATACAACCTCCGGACGGATTAGCTTTGAGTGTGCTGCAGCATACCAAGAAGTGATTCAAATCCGCAAGCAAAATTATGCTATTTTTGCATCGTGTCAATTATAAGGAAAAAAGTCTCTCGAAAGCAAACTGACAGCATTAAAGCTATCCCAGTACAGAGGGATGGGTACGTTTTACTTTGTTCTTTCAGAGAGATGTTTTTACACTTCCTGATTTTGAACACCTTCACCCTGTCTGTGCATTTAAGTGAGATAGTGTAAGTTAACTGTACCTTAAAGAGAGATCAGCATACAGATGGCTCTGTCGACCAGAACAGAAACACAACAAAACACCCAGAATTTTCAAAGAGCTAAACAGTCAGCCAAGGATGCCTATTTTCAGCCTGGGCGAGCTCCTTTCCGAAAAGGTTGCCAAGAGCACGCTCAGTTCCTCCTCAGTTGTTCTGCACTTCACTACCTCTGGCTGGGTGCAGCACCAGCGCAAGAAAGTGCGGGAAGCATCTGTTGCAAGTAACATCTGGACCTCCGAGGAAAACGAGGCACCTTCTTCCCAGGAGAAGTCTCCAACATTCTCTAGGGTACTCCCCTCTTCCGCCGTAGAGAGGCTCTCCTCCTCGTGCGCGCCTCCTTTCTCCAAGCAGAGGATCCCAGAGCCACGACCAGTGCCAGTGCAGCCGGGCGGACACCGGGGGTTGCCAAACACCAAACAGTGCGCAGAATCCGCGGCGCGCTCCGGGCTCTCCGCTCGCCTCGACCTGCTCTCAAGTGAAAAGGGGTGGGAGGAGGAGTACGCAGGGGGGCGGAGGGGATCCAGTTTAATTCGCGGTCCTGAGGGTGTGGGAGCGGGAGGAGGCTCGGCTGGTCCCTCCTCCCTCCTGGAGTCTGGGGCTCCACCTCCTCCGCGTGCCCCCAGATATACACACACTCAGCCGCGGCTGGACATGCACACCCAGCGCCGGCTCCGGGCGCGTGCACACGCAGGTGGCCACACTCACCTGAGCCCGGGGCTCTCGCCGCCTCGGGAGCGGCGGAGTGGCGGCCTGGGCCCAGAAGGGGCCCGCGGTGCTACGGGAGTGGGGCGAGCGGGAGCAGCCCCAGCGCGGACCTGCGAATAGAGGTGATGGCGCGTTTTCCTTAAATCCCCTCCTCCAGCACCTCCGCCCGGCGCCTGCTCGGCTCCGGCGGGAGAAGCCGGGGGAGAGGGGCCCTGGGCGCGGCGCACACGCGGGCGCACGCTCCGGGGCGAGCGCGCCGAGAGGGGCGCGGCGGCGCCGGCGCAGGAAACTTGCGAGAAGTTAGTTGCAAGTGCCGGGCGGCGGCCGAGAGGAGCCAGGAGGGGACGCGGCCGGAGGCCGGCGCGGCGCGCTCCGGGAGCCCGAGTCGGCCGCTGCCCCTGGAGGAGCTCAGAGCGAGCTGAGCCGGCATGGCCCGGGGGACTACGGCAGATCGCGGCAGCTCGGCGAGCCGGGAGGACTTCCTCTGATGCCCGGAGACCCCAGGCTCGCTCGAGCCTCCCGCCTCCTTCCGGGACCTGCAGCCGGAGAGGAAGACCCGCGAGGCAGGTGCTGGGGAGGCAGACAGCTCTCCCTCCAAACCCCCCAGCCGATTGGGGGGGGGGGCGGGTTCCCACCAGCGAGCCCTGCCCAGAGTCTGGAAGACCGGCTGGTGCTGCTGTATTTGTATTTCTATCCATTGCTGCGCTCTGCGTTCCCTTGCTGCTCCCGGACCCTCCTCCGCCTCCCCCTCCTCTTCCTCCTCCGGGGCCACCTCCCCTCCTCCCCCCACCCCCATCTGCTACTGTCAAATGAGAAAGTCACCGAGGAGAACCCAAACACTCCAGCCGCCGAGAGCCCCCTTTGGCACTTGGCAGCACGCGGCGGCGGGCTCCTCGGCTCAACTTGGTGGGGTCTTCGCGACGCAACTTTACGAGCTGCTGTGCATTTAAGGGAGAAAAAGACCGAGGAGGAGGAGGAGGAGAGTTCTGCGGGGCAGCGACTACCTGCGGGGACTTGGCGAGCAAACGCAGCCAGAGAGAAAGGACAAAAAGAAAGCCGAGGGCAAACTGCCACCGTGGGGCGGGGGCACCGCCGAGAAGTTACTGTGCCCCCGCGAGGAATTTTCCGCAGCTCGGCCGAAGAGACCAGGGCGGCCCGGGGCGCGGCGCGGCGCGGCCCTGGGCTCGGCCCCCAGCCCCCTCTTCCCGGGGCGCAGCGAGCGCGGGCAGGCCGAACGCGTCCCCGTGGGCAGCCAACATTGATTTCCTGCGGGCGGAGGGCGACGGCCCGGGCGGCGGCGGCGCGCTGCAGCCGCGGCACGGCGAGAGCATGTCCAAGCCGGTGGACCACGTCAAGCGGCCCATGAACGCCTTCATGGTGTGGTCGCGGGCTCAGCGGCGCAAGATGGCCCAGGAGAACCCCAAGATGCACAACTCGGAGATCAGCAAGCGCCTGGGCGCCGAGTGGAAGCTGCTCACCGAGTCGGAGAAGCGGCCGTTCATCGACGAGGCGAAGCGCCTGCGCGCCATGCACATGAAGGAGCACCCTGACTACAAGTACCGGCCGCGGCGCAAGCCCAAGACGCTGCTCAAGAAGGACAAGTTCGCCTTCCCGGTGCCCTACGGCCTGGGCGGCGTGGCCGACGCCGAGCACCCGGCGCTCAAGGCGGGCGCCGGGCTGCACGCGGGCGCGGGCGGCGGCCTGGTGCCCGAATCGCTGCTCGCCAATCCCGAGAAGGCGGCCGCCGCCGCCGCCGCCGCCGCCGCGCGCGTCTTCTTCCCGCAGTCGGCCGCCGCCGCCGCCGCCGCCGCGGCCGCCGCCGCCGCCGGCAGCCCCTACTCGCTCCTCGACCTGGGCTCCAAGATGGCAGAGATCTCGTCGTCGTCGTCCGGCCTCCCGTACGCGTCGTCGCTGGGCTACCCCACCGCGGGCGCCGGCGCCTTCCACGGCGCGGCGGCGGCGGCTGCAGCGGCGGCCGCGGCCGCCGGGGGGCACACGCACTCGCACCCCAGCCCGGGCAACCCGGGCTACATGATCCCGTGCAACTGCAGCGCGTGGCCCAGCCCCGGGCTGCAGCCGCCGCTCGCCTACATCCTGCTGCCGGGCATGGGCAAGCCGCAGCTGGACCCCTACCCCGCGGCCTACGCCGCCGCGCTATGACCCCCGCGGGGCCGCCTCGCGAGGACCGGTGTGCGCACGTGTACATATGTATAGGTACGAGCTCCGCGGCCTCCCCGTGCGCCCTCCCGCGACGGGGGCCCCGGGTTGTATGTACATAAGATGTATAGGCGCAGGCAGAGGTGCCAGTCGGGGCGCGAGTGCTCGGGCGAGTGTGCGCGTGGATCCGCAGGATCGTTTCCGACCGGCACTCCGGCGGCCCGCTCTCAGGAGCGCGGGTGTATCCGCCAGCAGTTGATGTTTGCTTTGCACTTCGGAACCTGTTGCGTTTGGGCCTGCAGAGGTGGAGGAGTAACTTTTTTTTTTTTCTTTTTTTTTTTGGACAAGTTGGGCTTTCCAGTTTTGTCTGTTGGAAGTTTATTGTCGGTTTTGTTTCTGTTTCTCATTATCTTCCCCCTCCCCCCCCCCCCCCCCCCCCCCCCCCCCCCCCCCCCCCCGGTCTGTGTCGCATGCACTCTGTTCAAGCGTTAGGTCTGAAATGGCTAGCACAAGGGAAGAGCTGATCTGTGTCCTGAGTGTCTCGGAGCGACATGGCTCTGAGCAGCCCTGCGCCCTATTTGTACTATTTGACTTCGCCAATCTCTGTTCTCTCAAGCAGAACCCCCAGACCCGGATCCATTCTTGACCAGTGACCGGCTCGAATCTGGCCTTTTGTATGTGAGACGATCACGCTTTTTGTTTATCACGTCATATGCAAATGAGAGCGAGAGCTCTTAAGAGCAAGGAATGCAAACAAGAAATGTGGATGAGATGCAAAGTTGTCAGTTGGATTTTGGCCCTTAAAAAAACAAACTGGTAGGTTTCCCTGAATCCACTTGCTTGGATTTCTGACACAGTTTACAGCAAGATAAAAGGCATTGTTCCTATTATCTCGTTATGGCTGAGTTCACCTTAAGATTGTAAATGTGTATATGTCCGTGAAAAACACTGAGTCTGAAAATGTGTTCTTGGCGTTGCCCTAAATTGGAGTCGGTTTTAGACTCCGAAACATTTTGAGCGAATGTCAAAGTTAACTTTTAAAAATTGCGGGACTATTTCAGAATCGCAATTTTATCTAAGATTAAATCAGACTTTTTTGTCTGAGTGGTAATTATATATTTATTATTTAGCAAAACTGAAAAAAAGAAAGACACCAGAATTGTTTTGACAGATGTCTCTCATTTTCAGCTAGCATTTCTTCACCAACTTGAACCGCTTCAATGTGTTTTGGAGTTTCCTCCCTAATTAGCTTATTTTTTAGATTACCTGCAATTCATTTGCAAATTATGATAAAACACATTTTAGAGAAAAGAACCTCAATTATAGCTTTTTGTTCCTTTTTAAATGTATATATTTTGACTAATGTTTGTGAATGAAGTTGGCTAACATGTATTTAGTTTCATTTTGACTTTATGTAATATAAAGTTTTAAAAAGTTTAAGTATTGGTTTTAACCTTTATGTGTAAATGGTTTTCTTGTGTGATCTTCTAATTTAATATTAGACGTCTAAACTATATCTGTAAATTAGAATCCGACTATCACTCTGTTCATTTTTTTTGAACAAAGAGTTTAAATAAAGCCTGAACCAGGGAAAAGAGAAAATCCTCTATTTCTTGTTGAGTTCCTAACAAGATTTTTATCTGAATCGCCCTTACGTGCCTGGTCCAGGTGAAGTGTAAGGTATCCTGCAAAGGCAGCCTTTGTTTCACTTTTGAATAGATTTACTAGGAAATCTAAATCAAGCCATTGTTATTCAGAGCCAAAAACCTGATTTATCACATTTTTAATCGTGAATAGGAAAGACGATAAAAAAAAAAAAACGAGTAGTTGTATTATCTTGGGGGAAAAAAACGGCATTCATGAAGCAGTAGAACAGAGCCCATTGAAAACATCCAGACCGTTCAAAGCATTTCACTAGTTTCCAGTAACATTTTAAGAGGGGAAAGTTGCCTGACCACTTTATCTTGTTAGTAGGAAAGCCCCACCACTTAAGTCAGTGTAATTTGTTCGTGTATCTTTGGCATATTCCTTGCTTACACCTTAAGATTTTATTTGGAAGGGTAATCACTACTAACGACCGTGTACAACTTTTGGCCTCTTTGGGGCTTTATTCTGTCATACTAAATTGCTTTAAAGTAGAAGTATAACAAATTCTGATGCAGAGGGTTGAATTTCCGGGGCTAGGCAAGTTTCCACTGGAGAAAGGTTTGAAATCATAAAGGATTTTCACTTTAGAAAGGAAATTATAGGGCACCAGGAAGAATATCAGAGAAAAAAAAAATTTAACCGTAAGGAGATCTTGATTTTCCGCCCACCCGGACACAAATTCTCAAGATACAGGACTCAACTAGCCCTAAACTAGTTTCCCCATTGAGAGACCATCTCTGGGAGCTGCACGTCTTTACAAGCGACCCAACTCTTTAAAGTCATTGTTTTCCCCCAACGGGATAATATTTTAAAAACCATGCAAAGTTTTGGAAATGTGAGAAATAGGTTCTCCTGGTTTGACCCTGATTCACTAATTAAAACGATCCCTCTCCTGTTATTCCCTGAGCTCTTTGCAATATTATAAGTTAATTCATATGGTTCTGAGCGATTATGCAAAACTAATTTGGACTGTCCAGGGGTAATTATCCCCGACACGGTTAATTAAATCCTTTCAAGGCTTCGTCTTTCCCTTTTGTAGCAGCCCATCACTTCTCAACACGGAACTTCCTGCGGCTTGCTGGAAATCACCCCAGCCCTAAATCTTAGTTACCTCCCTGAGCCTTCCAGCTCGGCCCCACAGGCCCGAAGATTCCCCGCCCCCTCCCACCCCCTCCCTTTTTCCCAAAGATCAGCTTGTTCTGGGAGCAATGCTCCCGAGTGTTGGTGAATGAGGAGAGGCCTGGAAAGACGAGAGAGGGGAGGGGGGACGTGGCCGGGGGGGGGGCGGCGGTGGTGAGAACACAGGGTCACATCACCCACAGATTGTGCGGCTGTGTGGTTGTTTGAGTGTGTCCACAGGCCCCGCGGGGGTGACCGGTTTATCACCCCTCCGACTCCAGTGCTCTTGCTAACAAGTTGCGCCTGGAGAAAGCGTCCCTCCAAGTCAGACTGTGCGGAAGTCGGTGGGGGCGACTCTGCTCCAAAGCGTGGAGAAGGGGCTGGGTATGTGCGTAAAGGTCCCAGTCGCCCACAAATACCGCTCTGGGACTGGCCGGAGAGCTGGTGCGGGCTTGAGAGCTCTCTGTCTCTCGGTCTTCCTCCGGCCCCCCTTCCCTTCCTTCCTTCCTTCCT